CATCTGTAGATTTTCACTGATATAATAACCACTACACACGTGATGAAGAGGAAGGACACTACAGCCAAAGCCAGCACTAAGTAAAAAGTCAGGTTGTCATTGTACTCCTTGTCGTGTGTAAAGTCAGTGAACTCAGACAGACTTCAGGGAAGCTGTCCGCCACCGCACGTTAACAATGACTGCAGCTGAACGAGACGGCTGCCCGTTGTCCTCCACTATACAGTCAGTCTTTGTTTCACAGCATCTTTATCATTCACTTGGCGGATAGTTCTGATTTCTCCATTCTGTAAGCCCACTTCAAACAGCGCCCTGTCTGTGGCTTTCTGCAGTTTATACGAGAGCCAGGCATTCTGTCCAGAGTCCACATCAACAGCCACCACTTTAGTCACCAGGTAGCCCACATCTGCTGCACGAGGCACCATCTCAGCCACCACTGATCCACCAGTCTGGACTGGGTACAGGACCTGAGGGGGGTTGTCGTTCTGGTCCTGGATCACTATTTTGACTGTCACGTTGCTGCTGAGTGGAGGGGAGCCTCCATCCTGCGCTCTGACGCGGAACTGGAAGTCTTTGATCTGCTCGTAGTCAAAAGAGCGCACTACATGGATGACTCCACTATCAGCACTGACGGAAACATATGAGGAGATTGCTACTCCGTTAACAGAGGAGTCCTCCAGGATGTAAGAAACACGGGCATTCTGGTTCCAGTCAGCGTCTCTGGCTTTTACTGTGAATACAGAGATGCCTGGTGTGTTGTTTTCTACAATGTAGGCCTCATATGAGCTCCTCTCAAAGACAGGCGCGTTGTCATTCACATCAGAGATCTGTAAGGTGAGAGTGACGCTGCTGGAGAGAGAGGGCACTCCCTCATCAGAACACGTCACTGTGATGTTATACTCAGAGGCTACCTCTCTGTCTAAATCACTGTCTGTTAGAAGGTTAAAGAAATTACTCGATGTCGGTTTTAATGTAAAAGGAATGTTTTCATTCATTGTACAATGAACTTTGCCATTATCTCCCGAGTCTAAGTCCTGAACATTGACCATAGTCACGACTGTTGCTGGTTTAGAGTCCTCGAGAATTACATTAGTTTGTGACATTATATTTATAACTGGCTTGTTATCATTAACATCGATCACTTCTACAGTTACCTTACATGAATCTGTAAGCCCTCCTTCATCACTGGCTTGCACGTGTATTTGATAGTTTCGTGCCCTTTCATAATCTACAGCACTTTTCGAGATCAAATCCCCATTTATTTCATTAATCTCAAACATGTTCCTAACATCTGCTGCAGCGTTAGATATCGAATAAGATATCTTTGAATTTGATCCTTTATCCGCATCTGAAGCACTGACTCTGGTTATTACGGTCCCTTTAGGTGAGTTTTCAGATATTGCAGCTTTATATATCGTCTTAGTAAAAACTGGTGCATTGTCATTTACGTCCAAAACTGTGACATGTATCTGTGCTGTACCAGACAGGTTTGGTTGCCCTCCATCAACAGCAGTCAACACTAAAAATATCTCCTCTTGTTTTTCTCTATCAAGTGATTTTTGTAAAACCATTTCAACTATCTTTTCTCCATCAGGCTGATCTTTCAATTTTAGTGCAAAATTGTCGGTTTTTGTCAGAAAGTAACTCTGTAGACTATTTAAGCCAACATCGGGATCTATTGCCCTCTCTAACAAGAATTTGGCTCCTATTACGGCAGACTCACTTATTTTAAATTTCATGTCAGATTTTTCAAACATCGGTGTGTTGTCATTTATGTCTTTTATTTCGACAATAACAGTGTAGAACTCCATGGGATTTTCTAAAATAACCTGGAAATGCAACGCGCAGGGCGTCGTCTGTGCACAGAGTGCTTCTCTGTCTATTTTCTCTTTGATAAGAAGGACCCCTCGTTCTCTGTTCAGCTCGATGTACTCTGCGCTGTCTCCTGTAAAAATCCGAGCGTTGCCCGAGGTAAGTCTTTTTCGGTCCAAACCTAAATCCTGAGCGATGTTACCGATTAATGAGCCTTTAGCCATTTCCTCGGGTATGGAATAACTGACCTGCCCGAGCACTGAAGTCAGAGAAATGATGTAGATAAACAACAGCACTTGCCACCTCATTGTTCTGTCAGGCATTTCCATCAAGCACGAATCCCACTGCTGTCCCAATGTAAGCAGAAGAAAATCCTTTGTATTTCCTCAACATACACGACAAAAAGAAGAATGGGTGATAACCAGTTTACTGTAGATGTCCGTGTTGGTAATGGCTGCTCTCTGTAATATTCGCTATGCGTGTCTGTATCCCTCTGGTATAAGAAAAGAAAGACGATGGGGGAGGATCAGCTCAAACCTGCCCCACAGATATCACAGGCTGGCCAACAGCGGCCCTAGGAGTTCAATCTAATGTACTACACGAATGTCTGCAAGTTAAGAAGTATTGTAGCCCCTCAGTTGGAAGAGAAACCAGATGTACAAAACATGCCAGCGATTTAACGTCAAATGTTGAACCTTATAGAAGACAAGCAGAGCTGAATTTAAACTGAAAATTTACCCCATTCATAACCAGGCAGCATTGTTTTCATCCTTCAAGAGGCTCATGCAAATTCTTAACAAAAACAGGCCCAAATTTGTTCCTGGAGCTGCTATGTTTTTATGCACGTACTGAAAGAAAGACAGTCATGGTCTTGACAGCTTAACTTATGAGTGTACCATTTCCAGCGATAATTAATTATCTTTTTAGTAAAATAAAGTCAAAATAATCGATTCAAGTCGTTCAAATCATACCGTTCAAACGGCGATAAGTGAAACAAAGAAACACTCAGCAATGAATCCAAGGAAACATGTATCATGCTTTATCACAAATCAACTTCGATAAAATATGAAGACAAGTTCAAAAACCAGGAGAGGGGGGACACAAAATCTAAAGTGTATGCTGAATGAGCCCATATTCCACAAGAAATACTAAAGTACTAATTTAGTAAGTCAAGTTTACAATTTTTTTCGACGTGTTGCATTCTGTTTAAAACTTAAATGAGAATAACTTAAATGTCTAACCTCTAGAGGAGAGTCTGGTTCATCCAGGATGCTCTTCTCACTCTGTATCCGCTGCATGGTCCCTGTAGAGCTGGGGTCCATTATCAGCACGTTCTGACTACCAGCTCTGCCGAACTTACAGTCACTCTTTCTGGAGTCAGTCGTCCTGCACACCTCGTAATTGTACACGTGCTGGAGAGTCCCTGTGCCCAAAGTGTCTGAGTAACGTGGAGGATAATATGGAATCACAGGGAGGTTGGAGTGATACAGGGTGCGAGACTGTCTCCATCTGTAGATTTTCACTGATATAATAACCACCACACACGTGATGAAGAGGAAGGACACTACAGCCAAAGCCAGCACTAAGTAAAAAGTCAGGTTGTCATTGTACTCCTTGTCGTGTGTAAAGTCAGTGAACTCAGACAACACTTCAGGGAAGCTGTCCGCCACCGCCACGTTAACAATGACTGCAGCTGAACGAGACGGCTGCCCGTTGTCCTCCACTATAACAGTCAGTCTTTGTTTCACAGCATCTTTATCATTCACTTGGCGGATAGTTCTGATTTCTCCATTCTGTAAGCCCACTTCAAACAGCGCCCTGTCTGTGGCTTTCTGCAGTTTATACGAGAGCCAGGCATTCTGTCCAGAGTCCACATCAACAGCCACCACTTTAGTCACCAGGTAGCCCACATCTGCTGCACGAGGCACCATCTCAGCCACCACTGACCCACCAGTCTGGACTGGGTACAGGACCTGAGGGGGGTTATCGTTCTGGTCCTGGATCACTACTTTCACTGTCACGTTGCTGCTGAGTGGAGGGGAGCCTCCATCCTGCGCTTTGACGCGGAAGTGGAAGTCTTTGATCTGCTCGTAGTCAAAAGATCGCACTGCATGGATGACTCCACTATCAGCACTGACTGAAACATATGAGGAGACTGGCACTCCGTTAACAGAGGAGTCTTCCAGGATGTAAGAAACACGGGCATTCTGGTTCCAGTCAGCGTCTCTGGCTTTCACTGTGAATATAGAGAGGCCTGGTGTGTTGTTTTCTACAATGTAGGCCTCATATGAGCTCCTCTCAAAGACAGGCGCGTTGTCATTCACATCAGAGATCTGTAAGGTGAGAGTGACGCTGCTGGAGAGAGAGGGCACTCCCTCATCAGAACACGTCACTGTGATGTTATATTGAGAAGCGACCTCTCTGTCTAAATCACTGTCTGTTGTTAAACTGAAAAAACTATTTGATGCGGATGAAATTGTGAATGGAATATTGTCGTTAATATAACATTTTACTTTTCCATTTTCACCAAAGTCTGGATCTTGGATATTTATCATTGTAACAACAGTGCCAGGCTGAATGTCCTCTTTTATTACACTGGACTTGGACATTACATTGATAGCAGGTATGTTGTCATTTATGTCAGTTATTTCAACTATAATTTTGCATGAGTCAGTTAATCCTCCTTCATCAATGGCCTGGACATGTATTTGGTATTGTCGCTTTTTTTCAAAGTCAGTGTTGCCAATCAGTGTAACTTCTCCAGTCTCTTTGTTTATCTCAAACAATTCTGACACATTGTCCAGTAGATTCAATATAGCATAAGATATTTTGCCATTGGGACCTTCGTCTAAGTCAGAAGCACTGACGATTACTACTTGCGTCCCCTGGGGTGAGTTTTCTCTTATGATAGATTTGTAGATTTTCTGTGTAAAAACTGGAGCATTGTCATTATAATCGAGCACACTGATGTGAATCTGAACTGTCCCGGAGAGCAGCGGTTCACCTCCGTCCACTGCAGTCAATATAAGCGATAGACTATCCTCTTTTTCTCGATCTAAAGGTTTCTGTAAAACCATTTCTACCATCTTACTTCCATCTGCTTGATTTTGCAGCCTTAAAACAAAGTTATCGGTCGGCTTTAACATGTAACTTTGAAGGCCATTACCACCAACATCCAGATCCATTGCTTGTTGTAACAAGAACACTGCACCTGTGATAGCTGACTCACTAATTCTGAATTTCATTTCCCCCCTTTTAAAAATCGGGGCGTTGTCGTTAATATCCATAACTTGGACAGTGATACTATAAAATTCCATAGGATTCTCTAGGATGACCTGGAAATGCAAAGCACAGGGCACCGCCTGTGCGCAGATCGCCTCTCTGTCTATCCTCTCTTTGACGAGGAGGACCCCCTTCTCTTTATTCAACTCGATGTACTCCGTACTGTCTCCCGTATATATGCGAGCATTTCCTGATCTCAGCCTTTTCACATCCAAACCCAAATCCTGCGCGATATCCCCAACGAAAGAGCCTTTTGGCATTTCTTCTGGGATGGAATAGCTGACCTGCCCAACAACAGAATTGAAATAGAGAACCGCGATAAAGAGCAGCACTTGCCGTGTCATTGTTCTCTCCGTCATGTTCCTGCAAAATGTAACGAGACAAATTCCAGTAAAATGATTTCTGATCTTCAGAGGGAATCCTTGAATGTCCCCAGGATGGATATCATCCCCAAAAATCCACAAGTTACAATTTTAGAAGAACAATATTCGTCCAAATATACGTTTAGATCTCTGATCTCCGAAATATGCACTGCTCCTCCTGTTTTCCTCTCGAGCTTTAATACATGATGGGGGAGGTACTGCTGAATACTTCTCCTGAACTCACACTGACTGGCCAACAGCGGCCCTAAGAGTTCAATATGCTGAACTACAGAATACTGAGGAAAAAGGGAAATATTTTCTATTCATCTTTCCAAGTCATATGTGCAGGCGTCAGATTTACTACAAACAGTATATTTAAAAAAAATTACAGGTAAGTAGGTTTTTAAAACATGTTTGTATCAGCCTGAGAGGTCAGTAAAAACGTAATGAAATAAAAAAGGCAATTTTCCTTTATCTCGTTCTCTCCCAAACAGACAGAAACACAGATAAACAGGCATTCTAACGGACACACACACACGCTACCGGAACTTGCTCTGTACACAATGCCATTGTAAAGCTATAATATCACACTCCTTTCCAAGTTGTCTATAGTTTGTAAAATTGGAAATCAAAATAATTGAGTACATATACCTAACACGTATCACCCACTGATATATCATTGACAAGTCAGCCGAGAAAGACATCCAGGGTTTAATGGATGTTGTTAAATCGGGTGCTACCAACTGCTAGGAAACACCGCAGTTAAACTGAGGATTTATCATATCTTACCATGTAAAGTCAAGTGGTGTACAAGTGTTTAATGTTTCAAAGATTAAAGAGGGGGCCACCAAGTGTTCTTATGCAGTCTATTGTAAATGTGTACAGGCACATAAATTCATAAATCATTGTTTTTATCTCTTTAAGCAAATGTATAGACTAACAAGACTAAAAATATATTTTCTGAATTAATTATAAACTAGGAAATTATTTTTTAATTTAAACAGAACACCCTGCAGCCATGAATAGTTTGACAGTTTAACATCCAAACCTCTCGAAATGAGACAGACTGTGGCGCTGTCCGAGGTGCTGAAATACAAAAAAATAGGTTCAACACTATAAGCATTACCAGTAATAGAAAGCGCAAGGCTGCGACATCTATTGAAATAAGAGGAAAAAAAACGTATTCTTACAATGATATGAATCCCAGGGACACAAATCAACAAGGGCATTCAGAAGTGTGGTAAAATAGTTGACTCATATTCAGTCAATACAAAACTGTTATAATACGCAAAAGTGCAACTATGTAGCCAACGTTACTGAGTCATAGGGAAGATGAGCTCACTTGACTGAATAAATGAATATGGCCAAACATTTCCAATGAGATCAATTTATAACATTCTACAACCAAGAGGCAGGATATCGAACCTATGTGTGAAAATAAATATTTCCTTTCAGGTAAAACTGACCTCTAGAGGAGAGTCTGGTTCATCCAGGATGCTCTTCTCACTCTGTATCCTCTGCATGGTCCCTGTAGAACTGGGGTCCATTATCAGCACGTTCTGACTACCAGCTCTGCCGAACTTACAGTCACTCTTTCTGGAGTCAGTCGTCCTGCACACCTCGTAATTGTACACGTGCTGGAGAGTCCCTGTGCCCAAAGTGTCTGAGTAACGTGGTGGATAATATGGAATCACAGGGAGGTTGGAGTGAAACAGGGTGCGAGACTGTCTCCATCTGTAGATTTTCACTGATATAATAACCACTACACACGTGATGAAGAGGAAGGACACTACAGCCAAAGCCAGCACTAAGTAAAAAGTCAGGTTGTCATTGTACTCCTTGTCGTGTGTAAAGTCAGTGAACTCAGACAGCACTTCAGGGAAGCTGTCCGCCACCGCCACGTTAACAATGACTGCAGCTGAACGAGACGGCTGCCCGTTGTCCTCCACTATAACAGTCAGTCTTTGTTTCACAGCATCTTTATCATTCACTTGACGGATAGTTCTGATTTCTCCATTCTGTAAGCCCACTTCAAACAGCGCCCTGTCTGTGGCTTTCTGCAGTTTATACGAGAGCCAGGCATTCTGTCCAGAGTCCACATCAACAGCCACCACTTTAGTCACCAGGTAGCCCACATCTGCTGCACGAGGCACCATCTCAGCCACCACTGAACCACCAGTCTGGACTGGGTACAGGACCTGAGGAGGGTTATCGTTCTGGTCCTGGATCATTATTTTGACTGTCACGTTGCTGCTGAGTGGAGGGGAGCCTCCATCCTGCGCTTTGACGCGGAAGTGAAAGTCTTTGATCTGCTCGTAGTCAAAAGATCGCACTGCATGGATGACTCCACTATCAGCACTGACGGAAACATATGAGGAGACTAGAACTCCGTTAACAGAGGAGTCCTCCAGGATGTAAGAAACACGGGCATTCTGGTTCCAGTCAGCGTCTCTGGCTTTCACTGTGAATATAGAGAGGCCTGGTGTGTTGTTTTCTACAATGTAGGCCTCATATGAGCTCCTCTCAAAGACAGGCGCGTTGTCATTCACATCAGAGATCTGTAAGGTGAGAGTGACGCTGCTGGAGAGAGAGGGCACTCCCTCATCAGAACACGTCACTGTGATATTATATTGAGAAGCGATCTCTCTGTCTAAATCACTGTCTGTCACTAAACTATAGAAATTATTTGAAGATGTTTTTAAAATGAAAGGTATATTTTCTTTAACAAAACATTTGACGATGCCGTTTTCTTCTGAATCTAGATCCTCAATATTTATCATTGTCACAACTGTATTAAGTTTAGCATCTTCTGATAATACAGTAGACTTCGACATTATATTTATTTCAGGCTTGTTGTCATTTACATCTATTACATCAACAATTAACTTACAGGAGTCTGTTAGTCCTCCTTCATCACTTGCAAGTACATTTATCTCAAAATGTCTGGATTTTTCGAAGTCAATGTTTCCAGTTAAAGACATTTCTCCGTTTTCCTGATTCACCTCAAACATTTTTCTGACATTTTCTAATGTATTCGTGATTGAATATGTTATTTTCCCATTTGAGCCTTGATCTGCATCTGAGGCTGTAACAGTGGCAACAACGGTACCTTTAGGTGAATTTTCAGTAACTGTAGCCTTGTATGTTGGCTGTGTAAAAACAGGGGCATTATCATTAGCGTCTAAAACTGTGATAACAATAAGCATTGTTCCTGACATCTGCGGCTCTCCTCCATCTACAGCAGTCAAGACGAGAGATATCTGCTCCTGTTTCTCCCTGTCTAAAGGCTTCTGTAGCACCATCGCTACGTTTTTATTACCGTCAGCGTTATTGTGCAGTTTAAGAGCAAAATTATCAGTCGGTTTTAACTCGTAGTTCTGAACACCATTATTACCAACATCTAGATCCACAGCTCTTTCCAGCACAAATTTAGCTCCGATCACGGCTGACTCACTTATTTTAAATTGGATCTCTTTTTTTTCAAAGGTTGGTGCATTATCGTTAATATCTGTGATCTGGACAGTAACACTGTAAAATTCCATAGGATTCTCCAAAATAATCTGGAAATCTAAAGCACAAAGCGCAGTCTCTGTGCACAACACCTCTCTGTCGATTCTCTCTTTGACGAGGAGGACTCCTCTTTCTCTGTTCAGCTCGATGTACTCTTGCTGTTCCTCGTATAGATCTTAGCTTTGCCGGAAATCAGACGTTTACTTTCCAAACCTAAATCCTGCGCTATATTTCCCACTAAAGAGTTTTTCGCCATTTCCTCCGGAATAGAGTAGGTGACCTGCCCGAAAACTGAGTCGAGTGAAAGCAGCGACATAAACAACAGTACTTGCCAATTCATTGTTCTTTCAGATTTGTCCCTCAGTGAGGCTCCACAGTCCGTTTGTAATCCAAACAACAAATACAACCCAGATTCAAAATGTAAATATCATATGAACCGCTCCAAGAGTCACTTGTTGTTAAAATGCTTTACCAGTCGAAATTTCTCCTCTTTAAAAAAAAGAAATCCCGCAGCCAGGCTCGCCAGCCTTTTCCCCGTCGAGTTCTGTCTGTACTGTGTCGACGTTAGAAGGGAGGTGCTGCTGCAAACCTGCTCTCTTCCGTTGACAATCTGGTCAACAGCGGCCCTAAGAGTCCACATAACAAAACTACAGAAGACTAACTAAAATATAACCCAGAAGAAGATACTTTGAACAATCTAAAACTGTGTTAAGATAAATCTTCTCCAGTAATATATTGGAATTTACAAATGATTTTAAACGGAAAAAGGTCGTCGAAATGAATCCTTTTAACTGATAAATCACAGTGAAAATGTACATAGAGAACATGTAAACACAGTTGGAGAAATTGTTGTTGTGTAATGTTTCAAGTGTGCCAGGGATCAGTGGATATAAAGGGGCAAAAACACGGATAATGTAGTTTACTATATTATGATGCTGTTTATGGCTAAATAAAATAGAGAACCAAATAAGAGCCATATATCTAACAGTGGAAACGACAGTTAATAGCAAGTATGCAACATGTGGCTCTACTATTTATGTCACTGTCTGAAGTTCTGAAGTGAATTAAATGTGACACATTTAAAATCATTAGACTGCAAAACCTCTTTGTATAAGATAAATAAAGTATATTTGGAAATATATGGAACAATAAAAACAATCTATCTGCGTTTTCTATTATCAACACTACAATTTACGACGAAGCAAACCCATAACTATTGGAAAAAATAAAATCATGCAGTGTTTTAGAAAGGAGGTTGAGGTTAGCATACATTTACAGATAATTTGGCGAAAGATCACGTGACCGATACCCAAATTCCAAAGTAATTAAACCACTTAAAATATATTCAAATATTGCCACATTAAAACAAGTATTAATTAAAATGAATATGGTATGGTAAGCTTTCTATCACTTTCAGAATGTGTATAACTTCAAAATAATTATGAAAACACTGCAGCTGTTTTAAAGCATTCTAACCTCCAGAGGAGAATCTGGTTCATCCAGGATGCTCTTCTCACTCTGTATCCTCTGCATGGTCCCTGTAGAACTGGGGTCCATTATCAACACGTTCTGACTACCAGCTCTGCCGAACTTACAGTCACTCTTTCTGGAGTCAGTCGTCCTGCACACCTCGTAATTGTACACGTGTTGAAGAGTCCCAGTGCCCAAAGTGTCTGAGTA